TGAAAAATGCGAGAAATGTGAAAAATACAAGAAACAAATGTCTAAATCTGGTCCGGAGTACTAATGAAAAATGTCGAGAAGACAATTTTATATATAAACTGGATCACCATCCCTAACCGTAACCCTAATCTTAAACCATCCTTTAACCTTAATCTTTATTACAGTAGAAATACGCAATGCTATTGGTTATTTTTGTTATTACCAAATCGGGTGGGGTGTACATAGATGCATCCGGTTATTTATTACCAGTATTTATCAAAATTTGTATCATTATACCTAGTGATTCGGCGAAAATTTAGGAATTTAGGACTTAAAAGACTAAATTATTAAATAAGTTAAACTAATTTAGGACTATCATTAAATAATTTAGAATTCGAATCAAGTTTTAAACCAGACTTTAATTGCAAATTATGGGGGCAAACCTTTATCCAAAAACTTTTTGCCTCAATTTTTAGCGAAAATCAAGACTATCGTTATTACAATGAATAATTTGCCAGATCAAATTGTGTTATTTGGAGACTCGCTTACCCAGGTATAAAATAAAATACTAAGTACACAGATATAAATTATTGATTATCCGAATAATATTTATGATTATGATGATTAGCGCAGCTTCGATGCAAATAATAATGGATGGGGTGCGTTATTACTTAATGCATACGCGCGTAAATTAGATGTTTTCAACCGGGGATATTCTGGTAATTAGTTACAATGGTGATAATACTTATCAATCCAAAGAGAAAATGATTTATATCTTTTGATTTAAGGATATAATACCAGATGCGCAAAATACATTCTCCCACAGCTCCTTCCCGCTTCCTCGTCTTCGTCACCAAAAATCCAATTATTAATAATATTCTTTGGAGCAAATGACGCTGCAATTCCGCCATCATCTCAACATGTGCCTCTCCAAGAGTACAAACAAAACTTGGAATGGTTAGTAGATCTAGTCAAAAATCCCGAATCAAAATATTATTCGCCTGAGACACGTGTTTTGTTGGTCACGCCTCCACCACCAGACAATGATGCTTGGGAGGAATTTTGTCGTTTGCAAGGAAATACAGTACCGCGTAATACGTCAGTCACGAAACTTTATGCGGATGCCTGTATTGAGGTTGCGTTACGTATTGGTGTTCCGTGCGCAGATGTTTGGTCAGGAATTATGAATAGAGTATGGGAAAAGAAAGTTGATGAAGATGGGGGCGTGAAGGAGCTAAAGTTGACTGATTTTTTGTGTGATGGGTTGCATTTTGGTGCACTTGGAAATGAGGTATTATTTATTTTCATTGCTTGTGATGAAAGCACGAATACTAAGATATTTTTTTTTCTTTCAAAGACTGTATTTAACATAGTTATGGGTTCCATTCGAAAGAATTGGCCAGAACTTGATCCTGAAAAATTACCATTGATTCTTCCTGATTACTCGTCTCTAGATTTTGAAAATCCTGAAGATTGTTTGAAATTTCCATTTAACAAACAGTAACGATGAAATTTGCAAAAGATATACGACGAATGTATTTTAATTTAAATCAAGTACAATATTAAGAATTGAAATTAACATAAATGATTTTCAAAAAACTTTAACTGCTTGATAATTGTTTACTATTACTGCTCTGTAATTTTGGTGCTTTAGCAAGAATAAAGCAGAAATCGCCAACACTACGAACTAATTTACTATTCTTGTTGATATAGAATTCTATTGATGAATTGAAATTAATGTAGTTACCCCCAGCTGTCGACCAAATCATAGCTTCTCGACATACGAGACTGACTTCGCAAACACAACACTCTTCCATCTTGTTGCTGATTCGAAGCTTTCAATCATATTTAAACCATCCACTAAAACAAGTGATCCAACGCAAACACACCACCACTCGATGATGATTTCCAAAGTAAAGACACGAATGATCGTCATCAATCCATGACCAACGCGATCAGAGTTCCGGTGTAGTGTATCTTCCACCTATTCAGTCAAGACTCGAGAGCATTTTGGTATGCGCGAGAGCATGAGACAGTTCAGCGATGAGCGTGGTGAAGATTGTGCGGATGTTGTCGGGAGTCCAGCTGGTTAAAGAGGTTGGGACATGTGAAAATTTTTAATATATTGCGAATTTTTGATTAATTATAATAAACTTCATTACGCGTGTTTCGAAAGTAAAAGTTATTCGTGGTGTTTGATCCAAAGTAACAGAAATAGACGCGTACATGACTACTGACCGACTCGAGCAATACTCTATCAATTGGAGTAATTTATTTCAGTCCAATTAACGTTAATCTTTAGGGCAATCGTGTATATTTGATATTTGGAGTATCACTACTCAACTAAAGCCAATATACTGTCCGAAACGTAAATACTATCGGTTTAACAAAATATAATTCATAATGGAAGAGAAAGACTTCATGCCATTTGATTAGTGGCAAAATAACGAGTTCGTATGAGTGATGTTTTTGTCATCATTATATTCAGAATTAGATTAATAGAATTTCCTTCTTACAATTTGTTATCAATAAATCTTATGATCTTAGCCATAATGCTTCAAGAGGATTTATCAACCACATAAATTTAAAACGATCTGCATATTTATTGATGACGTAGAAAACTCTACCCTTTAGACGAGTTTTCGTTTCATTAATCAAGGACGAAAGTTAGAGGATCAAAAATGATCAGATACTGTCGTATTCTTAACTACAAACTAAGCCGATTAGGAATCGGGAGTTTTAGAGTATGGTCGCAAGGCTGAAACTTAAAGAAATATACGGAAGGCATCACCCCTGGTTGGTGGAGTGATTTGTCTGTTAGATAGGTAAGCCGTTCGTTAGCTTCTTAGAGTGTTTGTTGCGCGATTAGAGGCAATAACAGGTCTGCCCTTAGATGTTCTGGATCACGCGCGCTACACTGATGAAGTCAGTAATCTTCTGAAGCTTCATCGCGCTGGGAATATTCTAGAAAGTCATATTATGGCGCTTGAGTGTCTCTGACCAGGCGGTTAGGTGATATAGATAGAGCTCCAGGATTCAGGGTTCTAGGGCGGATCTGTCACGGATACACTGCATGGGTTTACCGCATACGTCGCCAGGACTTTTGAAAGGGCACCTAAGGTCCCGTGAAGGGGGGAGTGGGAAATTCCAAACTTCCAATGCAAACGCATGCAAATCATCAAATTCAATCAAATGAACATTGGTTCTAGATCTTGGTGGTAGTAAATATTCAAATGAGAATGGTTCCGTGTCATTAATCGCGCTAGGACGTTAATACTATACAATACATGCAAATCATCGAATTCAATGAATATTGATCGTGCTAAGGCGCTAATGTGCCATCTGACAATATATAAAGTTAGAGCTAGGAACAGCCAAGAGTTTTGCTACTAAACTAATAGAGATAATAAAAATTTTCTCTAAAAACATTATAACGATAATTATCTCTCTTCCAGCGCCATCCTCCCACTGTGGCTCCGTGGCTGAGCTACTTAATTGCTGAGTTCTAAGCCAGTTGAGTTGCGTAGTATATTATAAAGCAGAGCTTGCAAGTCGGATCCTATGCCTGCTTGGAACTGAAGTAAAGCGACTTTTCAGTGTCGTATGGTGGATTTTTATTGGTTATGACTCACTGATAGTGTAAGACCACTGCTATCGTGCTTCTTTTCTATTGGTTGTATATGTACGACCAACTTTTTGTCGCTATAAAATCTTTCTTTTTAATTATAACGATAACATAAAGAAAAAATCATGGAACGAAAATATGAAAGGTCACGGCGAATTCGCGTAAATATGCGCATAGTATTATTTTTATTAATAACACTATTATTAATATGCCAATTACCTAGTGTCAAAATGGAAGCAACGCATATACATAAATGTGACTATCTCGAGAAATTAATAAACGACGGAAAACATCCAACAATAGAAGAAGATAACATCTCTAATTGTCCATATGCAAATAAACTGATCAAAAAGATTAAATACCCACATATGGAACATATTGACCATATTGACCACAGTCTTGCTTGTCCATACATTCAAGAATTGAATCGGCAAAAACGCGAAACTCAAATGATTGAAAGCAAGTTCACTAAAACAATTTTCGCCTATTTGTTTCCAGGAAGTCCCAAAGTTAATTCATTATTAGCCACTTTTTATATTTCTTCTGTGCCCAATTTCATTTTATTCTTTGTTCCACCTGATATTCGACCTTCTTCGCTTAATTCACTTGTCGGTTTTGCGGTTGGTGGACTACTTGGTGATGTTTTTTTGCATTTATTGCCGCAATCTTTTTTGGGAGAAAGTAACGACGATAAAGTTCATTTTGTGCAAGTAGAAGAGAAGAAGAATGTCGTTATTGGATTAGCAATTTTCATTGGATTGACGACTTTTTTCGTAATTGATAAGATGATGCGTGTTGCAAGTGGAGGAGAAGATGGAGGACATTCGCATTCACATTCACACACAGAAATGCACTCATCATCAGCAACAACCACATCGTTATTGCCACCAAATAAAGATTCAAAGACACTTCGTCAGCGAAAATCTGAAGAATCGAAAAAAGTAAGTGATAATCAAGAAAAAGATGACAATAAGGAGCATAAAAAAGCACCATCTACTAGTATAAAATTATCCGCATATTTAAACCTTATTGCCGACGCAACACATAATTTCACTGATGGTCTTGCTATGGCCGCCTCATTCTACACATCTCCAAGTATTGGTGCTACAACCACAGTCGCGGTCTTTTTCCATGAAATTCCACATGAAATTGGTGATTATGCGATTTTGATTCAAAGTGGATTCACAAAAAGATACGCGTTACTCTCTCAATTCGTGACTGCTCTCGGTGCGTTTCTTGGTACATTTGCCGGAATTGCAATCGAAGAGTTTAGTCGAGGTGAGGATTCTGGCAGTGGAACAGATGGATATCATGGGAAAAATACATCTGGGATAATGGGTACTGGTGCACATCTAAGTGATTTAGTTATTCCTTTTACTGCTGGTGGTTTCTTGTATATTGCAACGGTGGGTGTGATTCCAGAATTGTTGGAAGTGACTGGAAAGTTGAGTAAAGATTTAAAACAAGCTGGTATTGAGTTTTTGGCCATGTTTATTGGTGTTGGGATGATGGCAATTATTGCTTGGAATGAGGCTTGAAAAAGTTAATTTATTTAATCGTTATCAAAATTGGATCAATCAAATAATGTGAACAATAAAGGAATTTGTAAACTTGATATATATTATAGTTGATCATGTTGAACAATTTTAAACCTTATATATAGCATGTAGATTGAAACTATTTTTAGAATGATTTTATGATAGATAGATTCCACATACGGTTAGTAGTACCGAAATATTAACTATCAGAGAACGCGTCGCAATTGGCTAAATCATATGATCTGATAACGGAAATTTCACGTCTTAGCGTTAGAAGTTGATATGATTGGTCGGCTAGATAACTATCAGCCGATTTACATGAAATTTCTGTCAAGAATTTTCTAAAATTTGAGCACTATCCATATATTTTCGGCTAAGAAAGTTGTTTTGCGTATTTCGATTTATAAATTAGAGAAACTGAAAAGTTTATATTATCTAAATAATAATGTCTAACAAAAGTGGTGTTATTTTACGTATCGGAATTCTCGCTGCTCGAGATTTGGCGGCTGCGTGAGTACTCTTTCTTTTTAAGAAATAGGGGGAAAAGATAGATTAGGCTATTTAAATGAACAATAAAAAAGATAGTGAGAGTACATACTATTCCTAAGTGTAATAATAAAAAATAAAAGATAACTATTTACTTGGGCTTTTTTCTGACAGGTCATCATTTCTTTTATATTAATGTATTAATTTTTTCCTTTATTAAAATATCTAATTAATTGATCAAATCAACTAAAAGAGATAGGGATGGTTTCTCCGATCCATATGTAGTCGTCCGAGTTGGAAATCAGAAATACCAAACACAAGTAATTAGCAAAAATCTTAATCCAGTCTGGAACCGAGTTTTCGATGCAAAGTTAGGCCCCGAAAAAATACCACAACACATAGTAGTCACCGTATGGGATGACGACCGAATCGGTCGTGACTTTCTCGGTGAGGTGACAATTCCACTAAAACAAGTATTTGTGCGTAATAATGGTGGACTAAAAGACGGATTACCACGTTCTTATGATGATCCGCTGAATCAACCGGCCGCTTATCCTTTGCAGAAACGTACGTCAAAGAGTGAGGTCAAGGGTGATATAGTGCTGAAATTTGGATTGGAAGATAACGATGGTGGTCCTCAAAGAAACGTGGAGGAATGGAGTCAGTTTTGGGAGCAATTCACTTTGCAAATTGAGTTACGATGAAATGTGTGCAACTCGTGAAATTCGTATAGGATTCATTAGATTCAGTTTTGTTGTTTTCTTTTATTTATCTATTCATATAAAGAATAGTTTTTAATTTAATTCATCTCCAGCGTCAATTTCATTATATTAGTCATTTCATTGGTAAATTTTAATTGAACGTTAAAAACTATTACTTTTTATTATTACTTGTATTTTTTGCGTGATTATGTCCAATTTGAAATATAAATACATTCAATATTGGTTAGTCTTTAAGGCGGCAACTATAATTATATTTCAATGCCACTAACACGGTTTCGTGACCGCGAAAGTCTTTGCCTAACCAATCTAGCACTTGGAGCGAATAAGCATCTCATGACGGTAGCATGTTGGTAATCTTGTCTATAAAATAGCAACTACGTAAATCGCGTGGAAAAACCATGATGCCGACTATGTAGTTTGGAACGACATCCATTGTTGTGGCATCATTTCACGTTGTCTGATTTTGTTGCCCATATATATATGTATACATTTATTTATTTTTATATTAAGAAATTAAATTCTTACTAATTATACAACACGCTTCACTTCGAAAAATCGTTTCAGATAAAACACTTGCCAAAAACAAACGGAAACCAAAACAATAAATTGAAATAGTGACCACCATTTCACACGATCATTTGTACTTTCAGCGGCTATTTTTTCAAAATATAGTTAGTTAGAGTGTAAAATTAAATTTTAAATGATAAATATTACGATTGAAATTTTATACGTACTATCACGATGCACACGTTCCCTGATCACAATGTACTCTTGTTCATCACGAATAGCGGATAAACCGTCCGTTAATTCGCGAATTTCTTTTTCCAACGGATCTGTATGTGAATCAGCTACCCAAAAAAAAGAATAAAAAAAATCAATATGATTTTAATCAAAACTAAAAATACCATTCATTGATTCACGTTTTTCATCATAATTAATACTCACATCCATCATCCGGTACATAAACAATCCCATGCACATTAAAACTGACAATTTTCCCGGTAATGGTCGAAAATTGATTACTGAAACAATAAGTGTACCGGCCATCAAGTTGAGCCGTTAAGCCATATGTGCCAGTTGACTGCCGTGAATGTTGTTCAACTGATCGATCTGCAGGATCTAATATCTTTAGAAATCAAGAGAACATGATACAATGACTTTTGACTCGCTGATTGCTTTAATTTCAATAGTTCAATAAATCTTATCATTTTTTAAATATTATTTTGAATTTTCGGAATTTTATTAAATATATTTTAAAACTTGAATATAATTCCATTATTAACTAACTCAAAAATTCCCAATTACCCAAAAATCAATATCCATATTTCCGCCATCGCCCACTTGGAAAGTAACAGTCATTTTATCATCAATGTGTAAATCTTCGAAAAAACACTCTTTTGCATGTGGCTGTAAAGTAATTGTGTGTGCTGTAGAAAAGTATATGAAACATAACAGAAGAAATATGTAAACTGGTACAAGTGAAACACGACGCATCTTTGTAAATTCGTACTAGAAAACTGAATGCTATTCGTTTGTTTAAATAAAAAGTTCTTTTTAATGCATTCGGCGATCAGATATCGAAATAAAATAAATTAAAAAATCTGTTAGACTTATCTAAAAATATATTTAGCACTATCGCTATATAATGATTAGCAGCGAAAAAAGTGTCGGGTCATATGATTCCGACCCAACACAGTCATCCTCAACGATTGTAAAGTGTTGTTTGTCTTCGAAAACTGTTTTTTCATGTATAGAGGTATTACTCTTTCATAAATGTCAGATACTAACATAAATACTAGTTTATTTTGATATAAATATCTTTTGTAATTGAATAATTTAATGCAAATTATTATATTGAAACTGCCTATATGTAGTTCCTATCCAACAAAAGTGTATACTGGTTGTAAAGATGAGAACAGGACTTTTGTTGACTCTGTAGTAGTAATCCGCGCTACGAAAGGTGCGGATCCAGTGCCAAGAAAGCAAAGCTAGAGACCAGCCTCAACATAACAGTTTCAACCACTCAATTAATATTATGACTGATAGTTCTCACGAAATACTACCAACAATGGATATCCTAGGTATTAAAAACCTCAAGTTACCTTTAGTAATCAACGTTAATATAGAATAGATTTCTAACAAAAAATGATAATTTGCGAATCGAGTAAAACAAGACAAGAAATTCCGGTGACTCACTTAGTCATTTATGGGTTTCATTAAACTTCTCACGTCGCTGTTCTTTTAAAGCTAAGTGTAGGTTTTCAAAATCCATTCGCAACGTATAGCTTTCATATTCTTCAATTATATTGACCCATAGAATAATATGGTTGCTAAATCACAACCAGCAGAAACACCTAACTTGATTAAATTGAGTATAAATAGCTCATGAATCCTTTAGATAGAAGAAATCTCTTTATAAAATTATAATAAGTGCATGCACATATAAGTCGACTTTTTTGTGTGGGTGCTGAAAGATGCGACTTTTGTTGAATCGTTTCAGTACATTTAAAGTGGAACTAAGAGAGTAAGAGAGTAAGAGCATGCATTTAGAGAGCATACATGGTAGTTGACTAAACTTTTAAGAAATCTAGTACTTGATTGGTCGAAAAAATTTTATATTAAAGTATGGAATTATAAAGGATCAACTAATCTATCATTAATTTTTGGTTAAAAAACAAAAAATTTCTTAAATTATACTTGATTTTGGTCAGGATTATAAAATTATAGTGTTGATCATTCCAAATTATGAGCATTTATTAATAAAATCCAACAAAAATACATAATTTTAAATCTTTATAATTTAATAAAAAGTGACAAAGCTTGATCTAACCTATTATTTTTATGCTTTAGTTTGTTAAAATTACCAAATTTGAAAAATTAAAGTTATATTAAATTATTTAATAAATATAAATATTATAAATTCTTATATTTTTATTAAATAATTTCTTCTTTAATTATTTATATTAAAATAAAAGTATTATTAAAGTTCAAAAATAAGTATTTAAAGTTATGATCTAAGATATATTGTGATTTAAGACATAATATATACAATTCAATTTGATTTTATTATTTCAAATTATTATATTTTACTCTTATCTATTTAGACTTGTTATAAAATATTATTTTTTTAAACTTATTTAAAATTGATAATAAAAGTTCAAAAATATGTTAAAATATAAGAAAATTGAAAAAAATCAAGAAAAATCTTTATAAATTAATTCAGTAATTCTTTTTCTTGATTTTTTGTAATTAATAATATGATAAGAAAATAAATAGATTTTTAAACTTATTTATAGTTAAATAATTATTTGGCTTTCATTAAAATCTGAGTTATTATATTTTATATTTATTAAATAACTATTTTAGAACTTGTAGTTCAATATAATATAAAAGAATAATAAATATCTTTTAATATCTTTATTTATTAATCTTTGAATTATATTGATTATATTAATTATTTTTATATTATTACTGTGAATTCTGGTTAAATTCTCTTACATATATTATTGAAGTTGTAATTTTAATTATTGTTATCTTTTTTTAAGTTTAATATTGAAGATTCTAACTGATTATAATATGAATACAAGCTATTTATCTTTAAATAATCTATAAGAAACCATTTAATAAATGTGAATAAAAATAGATACTGAATTTTTCTTTCACATAATTAAAAGTATATCTGAGTGAAATAATAATAATTAAATTAAAGAAGGATGATATGAAGAATAATTTGTCATTAAATTTGATTTTCTAGTTTGCAAAACTTTTGGCAACCATTGTAGTCAAAATCAATAATTTGTTTTTCGTTTCTATTTATGTGCATATTCACGTCTTTCTGGATTTGGTTTAGCTAAAAACATCGATGTGACGAAAAAGCTTTCCAATGTCAAGTTTCATAGCTGACTTGTATCACGCAAATATATTTATTTTTTGATAGGCCAAAAAAATCAATATAAAACGCCTAGTTTATCTTTTTTTACTATATTATATATAATGTCTATGACGAAGCAGCTAAAATAAATAAGATATGAAGAAATGACAGTCATTATTTTTATTTGAATATGCAGAAATGACAATATATAAAAACAACTTACTGTAATAATGAAGATTTTCAATCAACGGTTGATAATCTCGTAAGATGCCACCTAAAAGTGACAATATCGGTTTGGTACTCATAGAATTACAAAAGGCATCAATCTTTTGTCTATAAACGAAAACAGGTTATTGCAAAGATTTATTATATATAATTCGGGAGGTATATGTTTCATATCAAAAGATAAAACATCAACATGACTTACTTTGTGAATTTGGAATAGAATGGATTTCTCAAGAAATAATAAAAGAATTGACGGGATCTTCTTTTATATTCTTCTTTCTCAAGACTTGATAGCCAACGATAACCACCTGGTATCTCCCTCGTATAATACATATCAATAAGTATACGTGATAATGCTTCAATGGAAAATGATGTTAGCCAGGGCATCCATGATTGATTTCCAAACTTTCTGATAGCAATCACTGTTATCCAAACAATAAATATAATGATTAATATAAATTTTGAACATGTTGAATTACAATAACAATAATTTACTGATAGTTACCATAAATTAATGGCCTTACTATGTACAAAATTTCACCAAAAGAACCGATGAAATTCATAATATGAACCAATTCTTTAGGATTCCTGACATCTTCCACCATCAATACACGCCTCGTTAGATAATCAAAAACATCCTGATTGTTATTTCCAGGAGTATTATGTTGACTAACTGCAGAAATATGTAAACGTTTATGTCCAGTACGTGTTCCAGTCCATGTTCCGTTTTTATCTTCATTCATAATAGAAGTAGTAGTAGACCAGGATGTTTCCGTGGTTTGTGCTCTAGGACTTTCATTTGTTTGCTCTTCGTTAAAAACTGCTGGATCAATTTCACGTCGAGGAATAGATGGTTGAACCACAATTCGTCTACGAGTTCGGTATAAAAGTACAAATCTACAAATTGTTCTTTAGAAAAAAAGTGATTAAACGTGTCAAATTTAAATAACTGACAATAATTATTAAATATATCATGAATACTTTATCGCTTCAATCGCGGTAATAAATTTCCATTTTACATCTTTCCCATATTTTTTCTGAATACCCATCTCCATCAACACATCAGTACACTGAAGAAGTGTCAACAGAAACGCGGCATTTTGATATACTTTTGATGAATTGATCCAATATCGTGTATACCGATTATGTGGCGAAGGTGTCGGTCTTTTTGCCGGTGGAAGATTGGCGGTAGCAGCACGCACCAAAATTGAATCATGATATAATCCAATAAGATTCAATGCAGCAAATACTAATGAAACATAAGCGAAATTTATTTTATTAATTAAATTACATGATTGAGAGTCAAAGACACTTACGTGCTTCTGATGCGAATTCGGAATCCTCAAAACGACCTAATTCGCATTATATTATAAAAAATAATTACTATAATCAATCATGTCCCTTAAGGTGGAATTAATAGAGAAATTCAAGGTCAAATTCATCCACAAACTCTTCGTACCTGGCAACACATACGTCAGCATACGCAATGAACTCTCAATAGAATTGATTTGTGACGCATTCTTAACAATTGCAGCGTCATACTTTTGAAACAGGTTCATTTTACCAAGGAGCGACGCCAAAACTAATTTTGACGCGTCTTGAAGTTTTGTGTTTAGTAAAGACGTGGTGGCTGTTCACGAATCGTCTAAGCTGTAAAAAGATATTTTGATAAAAAAACAAGACAGAAGATTTGAATTTGTGATTTAAAGAAATTCCTTCGACGCTTCAATTTTAACGTTAAAATTCATTTTATTTTACTATAACGATAATATTTTAACTGGATTTAGCAATCAACCGATCGATATCGATATCTATCTGTACGTTATATTAGCCTGATTCACGTGAAAATTTTTAATTCTAACACTATCAAATTTAAATAGCTTTCATTTCTTTCATTTACACAGAACTATAGGAAATTACTTGATTATTATTATTAATCATTCCTCTTCTCCAATATGAAACGTTCCTTTCCTCAGAAACTCTCTCTGTTTTCTCAACCATTTTCGATATTCGGCTACTGACTTTATTTTCTCACCATAATAATCGGGAGCAGGATTTCTTATTGAATGCAACGATGGATCAGCCCGATTTTTTTTAATGTGCGCGTAGAATTCTCGATCACGCTGTTTTTTTAAAAAAAAAAGTAAAATATACAAGATATTAATATAAAATGAATTCGGTCATGCATTCAATTGTAAATTTTTTTAAGGGATATTTTAATTCCTTATATGTTTAATGATACCTCTTCCATCATTTTAACTTCATGTCTATGAAATAATTTCCAAACTCCACTTCCAATCACTGGACCAATCAAAAGACCACTAAAAAAACACAGCAGAACACTCAATCCATATATCACAGTTGGATCTTGCCCTAATATCGGTGTTGGATCCAATTCCCTTGTAAACACGTACGTTGTGCTCATGCCAAGTCCAAGAAGTGTCGATGGTATCGTGAGTGCGCGTTCTGTATTTCTACGTCGCACTCTTAACCAGAAATAGTCATCCCAGCTTAATTTACCATCTTTTGTTACGCGAATTTGTCGTCGTCCTGAACCTGGAAGTAGCCACGCTTTTGGGCTATAGTTAGTAGGTTGCGTTTGTAGTGGTGTTGGCGAGGATTTTTCTGAATCATGTGTTGGAGTTGTAAAATATGCCTGACTTTGTTGATTTGCAGGAAAAAGGTTTTTTTTTGCTAAAGAGTTGGTTCCAAATACTGATGGTATAATAAAATATTTATGACTATTGTGAACATGAGGAATTTTACGCATAATTTGGTGGAATTGGCTATAATGCCGAAAAGGCACGTAATTTGTTATGATATTTACTGAGAGTCGTGTAGCCATGAAAATCTCGGATATTAGCTCTTAAAGAATAAAAAAGAACGTGTATTGCTAAAGGATGTCTATCGTCTCGTGTATGAAAAATTTAGCAGAACTACTTGGGGAGATAATCGATAGATTTTCTCCGTATCATGTGAACTTCATTGATGAATGCGTAAGTGTAACTGATGTACAATGCATAAAAAACCCTCGTTAATACATCTAGACATAATAATTGAAGATTCTTTCTTTTTGCAACGGATTCATAATGAGTTGGCAATCATATGTCGATAAAAACTTGGGTAAATATATTAAAAACATGGTTCTGCGTGTTTAATAAGACTTGTTGCCTTTATATTTGCTCGCGGGATTAAAAAAATTGCTGGATTTTCGGTCTTTCTTCACTTCTTCATAGTTGGTACTGGTAGTATATCTCAGGCTGCAATTCATGGTCATAATAGCGCATTGTGGGCGACTTCGCCTGGATTTACTGTGAGTTTTAACTTTTTTATTGCTTTAAATATATGATAAACCGATAATAACACGTGATAAACTGATAATAACTCGTCATCATCACCCCCTGATCGATAAATGGTAATTATAATATAGGTCAGTAGCGCTGAATTCGATGTTGTATTCAAAGCCTTTAACGATCCTAAGCATATCCAAGCCAATGGACTCCATGTAGATGGTAAAAAATACTTTACGTTACGTGCCGACGACAGAAGTATTTATGGAAAAGAGGTGGGTGGTGGGAATTAATTAATGGGGTGATTAAAAAATTTTAGCAATCAATGAATTAATGAATCAACTAATCTATTACAATTTTCCCTTTTTTTTCGATTTGATTTGTCACAAAAAAGGGAGCGAATGGTATTGTCATAGTAAAGACAAAACAAGCTGTAATCTTTGGTAGATACGTCGAAGGTACACAGCCTGGCACGGCTAACAAAATTGTCGAGGCTTTGGGCGATTACTTGATCAATCTAAATTACGTATGGATATTTATTGATATTACTTTTATTTTTTTTGTTTCATAATAATTATCTAAAATCACTTATTTATTTTGTTTTCAACAATGAACTTAACAGTAAATTTGAAATAAAAAATTATATATTCCTATCTTTTTCGCTTTCGCAAAGAATATACAACCTTTTTTTTGAAATTTTTGATATGTTGATAAAAAGGATGGATGGTATTTATATAATGATTACTCGTAATTAATAAGTAGTATTAGAATCTGTACTGCATTTGTATTTTTTCTGATTTTTGTGAATGAATCAGTCGGGTAGCATTAAGAATATTATTGAAAAAAGAACAGAAAAAACAGAAATATACTATTTTATGGGGTCTTCATTCTCGATTAGCAATACAGAAATTTTTGAATCAATTTATTATGATATCATCCACTTAATCAAGGAATCAATTATCAATAAACAATTACAGGAGATATTTAATAATCATACATGAATATCTGTTATTTTATTTTTTTACGATGAATTACTTTCGTGTGAATAATGTTTAATTGGGCAGAATTTTGTAATAGGTAAAAATCACCTGAAAACAATTGTCTCAATCATTAAAAATTATTGTGTTGGCTTATTGAAATCCCAGAATAAATGACAACTTGAATTATTACACTTTGGTTTTTAATAAACAACAAAAAAATACTGAAAAACACTTTGATTTTTAGAATAAAATCCCAAACTAAACAAAATTTACAAGATTTTAATAAATAAAACAATTTTTCAGATAAAATAATATAAAAATCAGTTAATATTTTAATAATTATTTAATTAAATAAAAATAAAATTCAAAAATAAATCCTATTTATATGTTTAATTTAGCTATTAGACAATAATTTTAATAAGTTATTTTTATTAGAAAAATATCAAAGTAAAATTTTTAAATAAATATTAATAATTATACAAAAAGATATGAAATTGATTTTTTATAATATTACTTAATATTAATATTTATATATATATAAATATCTAAGAATAGCATATTTATTTAAAAATTAAATAAAATTTAATAAAAGAATGAAAATAAAAAAAATTGGATTTTATAAATATTATTTTATTATTTTTGTTAAATTTAACTTAATAAAATTAATAATAAAAATTTTATTAATAAAAATATAATAATAATTTGACATTAAAATATATTTATAATCAAATTTCTCTATACTTTATTTTTATAGTTATATTTTATAAATTAATCTAATTATAATAACTATTATATATAATAACTTTAATATTAATTAATTATATATTCAGAATTTTGATTTTAAAGATATTAATTAGTTTCAAAATAGTTCTAATAATTTTGAAACTTATTAATTCTAGATAAATTATATAAATAGCTTTTTTTAAAATATTATTATTAATAAATTTTATTAATAATTTATAAAATAAAATTATATTCAAAATCAGTAATTTTTTTAGAATTGCTTTAATTTTGAAATTATTTTAAATCTGTTTTAAATCTTATATTTTAAAAATTCTGATTTTTAAGATATTTTATCACTTATTTTTATATTAAAATATTATTATAAAAGAAATTTAATTAGTAACTTGTAAGAAAAAATTATTTCTAAAACTAGTAATTTATATAAAATTATTAGAATTATTTGAAACTGATTAATATCTCTATTTAATTCTAATTTTAATTTAGATTTTAATTAAAATTTGGTTATTACAAATATATTTATTTATATTATATATTTAGTAATTAACAAAATTATATATATAATTTTATTAATAAAATATAATAAAAATTTTTTATATTTTAATATATATATTTTTTGGATTTTTTAGATTTAATTTGACAAAATTGTTTTAATTGCAAAGTTATTATAAAATTTTTTATAATTAAAATATAAAATTAATTATAAAAAATTTTTGTACTATCTTTATAATTAAAATAACTATATTAGATTAAATTTAAAAAATTCAAAAAATATATATTAAAATATAAATTATAATTTTTATTTTAATATAAAAATTAATTTATAAGTAGAAGAATAAATTAATAATAATATTATATATGAATAAAAAATACAATTAAATCGAATTAATTATAATAATATTATAATTATATATTTTATTATTAATTAATAATATTTTTTTTATTTTTTTCTTTACTTTTTTCTTTTTCTTTGATTATTCTTATTTTTTCATTGTTATTTTAATATTTAATTTTTATTATATATATATTTTCTATTTTTGCTATAATAATGTAAATTAACTGTATCATATACTGTACTAATATTATATTATATATTATTATATTATACTATAATTAATATAATGTAAAATATATATAAATACAAGTGTAGATAATTAATAAAGTTCAATTCAAGTTCACTTTGATTCATTTTAAAATTTGTTTTAGTTTGTTTATGTTAATTTTATTTAGTTTTGAGTTAAAAGTAGTTTTTGGTTAAATTTTCTTTAATAATATTAATTTGCCAAATATTACTTATATTAATTAAGTTATTTTAATTAAATGTAATTGGTATTTTTTCGTTAATAAAATGTGATATTTACTATAAAAGGATTTTTTTTACTATAAAATAGTATAAATCAAAATTAAAATTGCTTGTCAAAACTAGTTTTAGTAAATTTATTATTATTAAGATTTTGATAAATAACCAGTTTTAAAATACATTTTAAAAATTTTAACAAAACAGGAATAAAAAGTGAGTTTTGACAAATTTGTTAATATAATTTTGAATCCAAATTACAAAGATCTGAGCTTTAGCATACAATCTTAATTAAAATATAAGATTTTAAATAATATTTGCTGAATTTAATTTTCATTCGTCAACGAATATAACTTAATTATTAAAAAAACTAAAATACCAATTCTTCCATTAAAATTCGTACGAACACCACCCCGACATTTCCCGGAAATGCAATCACAATCCTCTTTATCACTCCCCGGCTTAAACACAAGATACATTCTGACATTTACCGGTCACGCAATCATTTTGGGCGCATGGATTCCCGCCTGAACCGGTCCCAAAACATTCACAACTTCCATCCTTACACTTCAAGGAATGGCAATTATCGTCACTGGCGCAATGATCTCCATGCGTACATTCAAATTTATTGTTCCCCAATGAGCGTGCACAAATTCTCCCCCCCCCCCCACACTGCCCAGAAGCGCAAACTTCATCATCTAAACAGTCTTTCCCTTGCATTCACAAGTTCCACTATTCCCACACGTCCCGGAACTGCAATCAACATCGCTGTTACAACCCTCTCCTTCATCAGTCCCTATATCGTTTCCCGGCTCGCAGGGAAGAAAATCTCTTGTCATGTCAAGAGAGTTTCTCGATTTTTTTTTCGAATACGCGACTATTTAACAGATTAACCGCCAAAGAAACGTGATTTAAAACTTAGTGCAAGTCAATGGTAGCTTGATAAAAGACAGTTTACGTTTATCGGTGAGCAACAAGGCCATGATCACCACGATGTAAGTGAAAAAATTAAACCAAAACAATGCTTCATGGTTGTAGCAAGGAATTTTAAAGTATCGTGATAAAGGCGAAGTCTGTCTCAGCGATAGTGTTCAGATATTCTGATTTGTTTGTTTAAGGAGGGATACACATGTCCCTTGAAGCCTAAACCACGTCGTCTTACACTCAGTTTGCGTGCTGTTCGTGATCAACCACTCAAGAAATATAAGAAATGGAGTTTACTTCGCTCTAAAGCCATGCCGATATGGGTACACAATATAACATCACCCTTATATATGGTATTTTTATAAAGTAGACTTACCTTGACATTAGAACTCCAACAACTAAATTACCTAATTCAGAATTGGCCAAAATTAGAATAGGAATAAGTGTTAATTACTGTAATTTAGTCATAATTCACTATATAAAATACCCTCCCTTGTAGAAAATTTATACTCTATATCCTGAACCAATAGCGTGACATACCGATACTCGATAGTTATGTGGTCAGTATGAATCACAGACCAAATATTCGAAAAACGCGAATCACGATTTTTTTCCCTGTGCACGCGCAAATATTTTAATGGTTTTACCCATCTCTTTGGTGACATTTGGACCTTCTACAGGGAATCTTGTTTGGCGCAAGACGATCAACTCAACAACCACTACAAAAAAATTATGGAAAAACCTTTCTTGTATAACAGCGGCAAGACGGCTTCGACATTTGCACCAGTTAATATTATCTCACAAGAAAGGTCAGTGAAAAGGTGCGTTGAAATTCACTTGACAGAGCTGAACGAAAGATTTGGATATAATATTTATTATTATTTCTGTGCAAGCTCAAGCCTTAAGAAACGCGTTTGCTCATGATATTCTCAACTTCATGTAGGACTTATAGTGGGGTTTTCACGACATACTGACTTTTCGACCATAAACAAGCAACAGTATTATAATAATTTTCGAAATTATCACAGTACAAATCCGTGTTTTGGTATGCATTTTATCTTTGAAAGTAAAAATTTTACTATTGATACTTTTTTGATTATGACTAATAATGCTATTATTCAAAATAGCAAAACAAAAACGTAAAAAATCAAAGAACCCAGTCGAAGAGGATATTCTTCAAGAGGAAGAAGCAGAAGCAGCAGCAGAAGAAGAACTTCTTAATTTAGATGAAGCAGAACTTTTTTCCGCGGATATAGGAGCAGACACGCCGATTACCACCAAAGAAGACACAAAAAAGCAACAATCCGAAATTAAAACCGGGATATCAAAAGAATTCAAGGAGATTTATGAAGATATCATAGATAGAACGCCACTTTATCAACCTATTAAACAAGGAGTAGCTCATACTCGCCTAAATCATCTTTTATATCTGATTAAGACACGAGAGGAGGCTGAATTAATCCCAAGAATTATTTCAAGGTGGCGAAAAAAAGTTTTACCAGTGTCGGAAGCGACCACTAGATTCGCTATTGAGAATTGCGTAAAAGCGGGTGCCATCGATATAGCATTTCAATTACTGACCGATCGCCTGAGATATGGTCAGCTTCCAACACAACGACAATTTCGGGTTCTTATGAATGCATACGCTAATCGGATAGACAAAATAACTGATCGGAATCTTGCCAGCAATGATAACACCAACAGCAATCAAAATACCAAAAACATTAAAAACAAAAAAAAATCAAAACGACAGGATCAAGCAGAGGTTGAGAATAAAGCAGAGGTTGAGAATAAAGCAGAGGTTGAGAATACAAAAGAGAATGAAAAACAAGAACTATCATCGCCAATGGAACTTTTGGATACCGTTTACAAAGTCTTTGGGTTGATGCCATTTTACGATCTGTCACAATTCGATCCGCATGCATATGCAATACTGATTATGTCGTCAACAAAGATCGACTCTGATGTAGCATGGAGCAGAGCAGACGAGACAACACAAGAATTAATAAACCGCTTGAGAACTGAAGACATTAAAATTGTTGAAGGACGCGAAAAACATGACGAAGAACGAAAAGCAAGATTGTCGGCATGTATAGAAGCATTCACCGTTATGGCTAACGCTTATAAGAAACGAGGCCAAGAGTCAATGGCGGGATCTCTACAAACTTTTATTCATGATTGGGAATCTCAAATACAAAAGCTTTGATTTTGGTATAATTAATTAAATTAATCAAATTTTTGATGCTAGTTTTACGTAACCCCTACGTTCAATTTTTCAGCGTGCATTTGTACAACTTTGAATAAATTGATGTGTTTCATATGTTTCACGGGCATAAGATGTTATTTAGCATTATTCTATTTCGGGGATGCGCTATCCTTAAAAAGCTGCGATTATTATTACATCATTGAGAAGTAATAGAAATAAATAATAAGAAATAAATAAATAATAGTCAATCAATCAGAATCATAGAATCATCGAATCATCGAATCACTTGAATCACTTTTTTGTCTTCCTTGTTGCAGTAATAGTATCACCCTCCTCATAACGATAACTATAAAACACTATTTTTGCGATACAAGTTATTAATATTATTAATATATCATTGAATGCACCCTTTTTTTTGTTCTATATATTCTCTTACCTCTTAGTGTTTACCCGTTCTGTGCTATAAACTTCTCACTACTTTTTATTATTCTATTTTAAAATTATTTATCGAAAAACCTTATTATTTTCTCTCGCAAAAACAATCATCACCATTAAAACTTGAAAATGTACGTATTTTATTATTTCTCAATGCATTTCATTGGGGAACAGAGATTAGTTTAACGCGAATGCGAAATTTGTCTTTTGAAAAAACATGGGTGTAGTGTATCAGGTTCATTGCACGAGTTTATACAAAACTCCTTTGACCAAGACATTTACTGAAGCAATAGAAACCATGCAAGTCTATTGGAATTATTATAGTAATTTGCTTGGTTTCTATAACTCTCGGCATATTGCAAGAAACAGATGTCAATTTCTATTATTCAATGTATTCTGTTTAACAAAAAAATAATTCGGTTTGTAAAGGATTCGCCTTTGTAAACATACATGTCTTCTAAATTGACCTTAATAATGATAATAATGATAATAATAACAACAGTAACAATAACAGTAATAATAACAATAGCAATGTATTTAGTATTTAATTAACCCAAGTATTCATTTCCTTTTTAATAACAACAAAAAGGTCTGACCAATATGACCCACATATCCCAAAAGGTAACGCCCCAAACGGTGAACCAGGTGCAGCTAAAACTCAAATGATTCAACAGAAAATCGACGAGACAGTAGGCATCATGCGAGACAATATTAATCGTGTCGCGGACCGAGGAGAAAGATTGGATGTGTTGCAGGATAAGACTGGTAAGTAGCGGGAAAACTCGACAATATTATTAATTATTCAATAAGAATCAAAATGATCGTAAATGTGCTTCATTTTCACACTAATTGAAAATAAAGAGAAAATCATTTATTCTGCTGATTCTAATTATCTTACCATTTTTTTTTTCATAAATAGAAAATCTCTCCCAGTCTGCTCAAGGCTTCCGACGTGGTGCAAATAAAGTACGCAAACAGATGTGGTGGAAGGATATGAAAATGAAAATTATCCTTACACTTGTTGCGCTCGTTGTGTTGACTGCAATTATTGGTGAGTATTTGTCTGATATCCAAGAGATGACTTTTTTCGGATTTTGAGATTTGTTGCTTACACTCTTTTTTCGATTATTCATGTAGTACCAATCGTTGTCAAAAGTACCAAAAAAGACAAAGACGAATAATAATAATAACAATAATAATAATAGTAATAGTAAGGATATTTACAATATCAATAATCATAATAATATTTATTAATATTTTTACATCTTCATCCTAATCAAAAAAAAGTCACACTATGATCACTTTCTTCTTTGACTTGTATTTTTGATGCTTTTACCATCATACACTTACTTTCTCTTGCTTTATTTACCCTTGTACTTTTGCTCGTTTTAATCTGTCGAATATACTTATTGAATTTACTTGTTGAATCTACACTGGCTTATATAACTTTATACACTACATCTTCGAAATCGGCGCTGATATTTAAATATATATAAAAGACTATCTATCTCATTATCTATAAATTTTGGTTTCTATCATAATTTTTGCTTTTATCTGTCTATTTGCGTATACATCTATCTTCATGTATTTTATTCATGTAATGTAAAACGAGATTCTGTGTCGCATAATTCTTTATGTATTATATATTACTGTTAGGTAATTCATCAATAAAAAAATCAGATCACGTTTTTTATTTATAATTTAAATGTACAATTACGATTGCATCGGCTTTCGACTTAAATATCAAATGGCCGATCACATCAAAACCATCATCAATCATGCATTGCTCTAATTGTTTACGGAATTTGTTTCAATTAATTATTTTTACACACAAAGCCAACGGTGTAAAGATTATTACACTTTCACCTTCCTTTTCATACTAAACAAAACATCGCACATCACGCAAAAAGACACATCGCCATGGAGAGAGCGGTTCGAGGTGCCACCAAATCAAAAAGCGCGGCCCCAAAAGAAAAATACCTACAAGGTATATCTTTTAAATTCGATCAAATTATCAAATTGACCTTGCTTGATTAAACATCAAATCATCCAATAGTGCTTCTGGCCGCGACGTCTGACGACGCTCTGGAGGAAATTTTTACTACTTTGCATTATCGTGTGCGGGAACATTCGTGGTCGGTAAGTTCTTTTGATCGTTTTTTTTTTGTGGAATTTTTTATGACATCATATAAAATATCTTGAATTTCTTGAAATTTAGATAGTCTTCAAGAGTCTTATAGTAATACACATTTTAATAAGACAAGGAGCTGGGAATAAAGCTTTGAGCTACTTGTTGAGCAAACCAACCACTATGAACGTTTCAAAATTCAGAGATAAATCTGGTTCACATCGTTAGTATTAAAATTATAAGATGATGATTTTATGTAATTTCTTAATTAATGAATGAATGTGTGATATGGTTATCGAATAGATGTTGAGCAGACTAAAAACATTCATGCATATGCCGCGTATCTTGAAGAAAGGGTGGCGGCTTACCGTGAATTAAAATTGGATTTCCTCAAAGAGCGTTCTCAATCTGGCACATCGGGTAGCCGTCTGAGAAGGCTCACTGTCGCCAAAGGACTTTTACGTGAAGTTAAAATTCTACAGCGTCAATTGGGTGCACTTTTGAAATGCAAGGTTTGTTCTTTATTTATTCATCATCACCTATAGCTTAGTAAATTTTAATAATATTCGTAATCATCCGTAGGTTTTCTTGGATGAAGTTGATAATGAGGTGACATTGACAGCTTTTCGGTTACTTGTCAAGGATTTATTGGAGCTTTTTCAGGTGGTGAATGAAGGAGTTATAAATGTTTTGGGTAGGTGGGTGCTTACTCTTATTCTCATAACATATAATGTATTCTAGTAACAAAAAGTATTAATTTAGATTTATATTTTACCGTTGCATTTAGAACAATATGTTGAAATGTCGCTAGTCGATGCAAAAGATGCATTAGAAATTTATCGTACATTTGTGAAACAAACAGAATTAGTCGTGGACTACTTGAGCGTAGCAAGAAAATTGCAATCTGCGCTTGGGATGTCTATTCCTAATCTCAAACATGTGAGTTACATTTAATAAATTATTATAATAATATGAACATTTATTTACAAACACGTATATATTTGAAATACGCGTCTTAGGCTCCTGTATCGATGACAGTTTTTCTTGAAGAATACATAAATGATCCAGACTTTGAAAAAAATCGACAAGAATACAAATTATCAAAGAATTCTGCCGATACTAAAAAAGTAAAAGATAAGACGGTGACTACTACTTCATCACCAACTACCACCGCAACTGCCACTAGGAAATCAGTTGATTTGAACAAATCTACAAATGAAGTTGTCTCCTCAGAAAATATTACTAATAGTATGGCAATTTTTGTGTTAACTTTTTTTGATTATATGATAGGTGCAAAAATATTTTTTGCTAACAAGTGTTAAATATTTATTTCGTAGATGTGTTAATTGCTTCCCCTAAGCCCCAAAAGGAACTAATGGATTATTTTTCAAGTATTGAACAAGAACAAATTTTGATATTTGGGAATCAATATGGAACAGGCTCTTTAATTCATAATAATAATACTGCTACGAACCCATTCTTGGCTATGCAGCAGCAGCAGCAGCAACAACAACAGCAGATTAATGATCAAGTTTTATTACAACATCAATTGAGTCAATTAGCATTGCAGCAGCAGCAACAGCAACAACAAACGCATATGCTTGTTAGACAAGATACAAACCCATTTAGATCATTGTATTCGCAATCCTCAACAACAAACAGCTCAACATCAGCACCAATTGGAACGATTGTGTCGTCTCCTCAATCAATAAATTACAATCCATTCCACCAACAACAGCAGCAGCAGCAGGCATTATCTATTCAGGGAACGTCAATTTCGCCTCAACTTAACCAAACAAACCCATTCACGGCCATAACCACGACTAATAACACAGCTACTACCATTGATAATAATCAATTATTCCCTTTAGGAGCCACCACCGATAGTAATCCATTTAGACGATTCACCAGATCACTTAGTTTTAATGCCCCACAACCTGCTATTGCTACTTTCTCCGGTTCACCGTCGTCCTTTCCTGATTCAAATACATCAAGTATCGTCCCATATCAACCATTCCATGCAAATACGATGCCATTTAGAACTCCAACTCAGCATCGACAATCTGCTGCGAATATTTTTAGTGCTGAATATTAAGTAGTTAATTAATAACTGAACTTTGGATATAAAATATATGATATATAAATATTAGAATATAATTTAATTAATCTTGGTTCCATTAATATAATTAATTAATGGCTTTTTTTGAAAAAGTTAGAATTCAACCAATCAATTTATCAATAAAGCATTTGATCTGGTATATCGATATGATATGCAATACCGAAAGCACCACCGGCACGGCCATAAATGGCTAATTACATTGACATTTTCACGTTGAAACGTTGCTTATCTAATGCTAACTATTTCGAACATTGCGCAATTTTGACGTATCGTTGAAAAACGTTGATAAATGTAAAAATAATAAAATGAAACCGTCAATTAGTTTGACAATCATGATCTGCCATCAAAACAATGGCGTGCTTCTTAGCAATAGCGACAGTGCTACAAAATTTTCTTATATGTAGTGACGCCTTATTGCTATCAGTTGCATCTTGAGTCTTTCTCGCCTTCACGATATCTCCCTCTCTCTTTTCTGTTTTAACAGTAATTGTATGTCAATGTCGCAATCACCCCTTGAAGTTGAAATGGGTTCTCCAATACGCGCGGCGACTCCTATTGGATTAGGTGAGAGTACAGCTTCTTTTAGGTAACGGGTCACAAAACTATGTGAAAGTATCCATAGTTCAGTGTTTTACTTTCTGTTTGTTACTTTTTATATATACAGGACGTCAATATGAATCTGACGACGATGACAGTCTTCACGAAACTACCCCCTTGAAAGGTTATTGTGCTATCTCGAATAGAAGTGATTCTTTACCATGTATGTATGTGTTTGATTTTTATAATTACGTATTTTCGGTATTTAATAATTAATTGCTTTTTTAAATTCTAGATTCAGTTGGTGAAACTGGTGGTAAAAATCAAGATAATTGGACTATATTTAAGACCAGGGCAAAATATTATATCCCAGTTTTGAGTTGGCTTCCTTCTTATTCTCTTAATACTTTCTGGAATGACTTCCTTGCAGGGTTAACTGTAACTGCCATATTATTACCAGCCGGACTGTCGTATTCGGTGCTTGCCAAAGTACCACCAGTTCACGGTCTATATTCAATTGTAATTCCTGGTGTAGTGTACTCCTTTCTTGGAACTTCAAGGTAAGGACATGAATAATAAAAATGAATCAAACTACACTTTTGATTAATTTGATCTTATTTGATATTAAATTTTAACAGACAATTATCTATTGGTCCTGAAGCGTTGGTAGCAATGCTTGTTGGTTCTTCGGTAGCTTCACAACAAAAATACATTCCTAATGATGACACTGTCGCTCCAGTTATGCTGGCATCATTAGTTACAATGTTTGTCGGTATTCTAACTTTATTACTCGGATTAATCCGTCTCGGGTTTTTGGACTCAATTTTATCTCGACCTTTATTACGTGGATTTATTACTGCTGTGGCTTTCGTGATTATAATTGAACAGCTTATTGCTATGCTTGGATTAACAGAAACAGCATATCTGAATGGAATCACTCATGCGACATCAACATACGACAAATTAATATTTATTATACAAAATCTAGAAGAAATGCACCGTTTGACGGCTCTTGTATCATTAGGCAGTCTTATTTTTTTGTTAGCATCCCGTTTATTCAAATCAAAAGCCTCATCACAATATCCTTCAGCTCAATTTGTCCCAGAAATACTTATATGTGTCGTCATATTCACAATTATGTGCAAATACTTTGACTGGGAATCCGGAAAGCTCGCAATATTGGGAGGTATAAAAGGCAGCGGATTCCCGAAATTTTCAATTCCCAAGATGCCTACAGTTCCACAATTCAAGGATTGCTTCGAGAGCGCTGTTTTAATTTCAATCGTTGGCTTTGTTGAATCGATTGTGGTCACAAAAACATATGCGACAAAGCATAATTATGCTGTCAGTCCTAATCGAGAATTGGTGGCGCTCGGTGCTGCGAATTTAATCGGCAGCTGCTTCCAATGCTTTGTGGCGTATGGTGGAATGGCAAGGAGCAAGATCAATGATCGTGCTGGAGCAAAAACTCAATTTTCAGGATTAGTGACGGCGTTGTTTGTCTTGTTCTGCCTGTTTTTCCTTTTACCTTGTTTTTATTACCTTCCGCAAGCAGTTCTTGGTGCTATCGTGTGCGTGGCGGCTTTATCCTTATTATCGGAGACACCACATGATTTGAAATTCATGTATGAAATCAAAGCTTGGAATGATATGGCTTTGCTGATGTTGACCTTTTTCGTCACAATTTTCGTTTCCATTGAATATGGCACACTTATTTCGATTGCTCTGTCTTTAGTATTAGTTGTGAAACATTCAACATATCCTAGGATTACAATTTTGGTAAATTTATTTTCAAAATTTAATCCTATATTTATATCAATTGTTTTTTATATATTATTTGTATTCAGGGACGCGTAGGAAGGTCTAATCGGTTCAAACGAATTAAGAATTTCCCGCACCAAGCTGCACACATTGAAGGTGTATTAGTTGTGAAGATAGAAGAACCATTATATTTTGCAAATACTGGTCAACTGAAAGATCGGCTACGTCGTCTTGAAGAATTTGGTGATATGAGCGTTCACCCTTCGGAAGAAGCGCGAATGTCACCGGTGAAGAATGTAATATTCGACATTGAAACTATGGAAGATTTAGATGCAAGGTAATAAATAGGATTTATTTTGATGATTTAATAAAATTAACGAGTGATGTTCATATTTTGATATTGTGTAGTGCTGCCTTCATTCTGTTCGAAATTATTGAAGCTTATCAGAGACGGAATGTTAATGTGTTCTTTGTTAAATTGCACGAGAATCAAAGAAAGCTTTTTGAGCGTGCTAATTTGATAGAGAAAGTTAGAGAAGATCATTTCTTTTGGTTTGTTTATCTTCTTATATCTTACCAGAAAATAAACAGTTTTTTTCATGGGGGTATATTTTTACAATTATACTAATGGTATTTAAACATTATAGGCGAATTGCCGATGCGCTTGAGTACATTCATAACAACAATGTAGATGAAAATTTCATCAACTTGGAATGATGATGACATCATGATGTTAATATCAAAAAATAATAATTTGTATGATGTGTTGATTCAAAAAATAAGGTTGGATAATAGATAGCAATTATTAGAACTTTCACCAAATTAGATATATTTAAAGCTTATATTTCCTCCAAAAAATAATATACAATTAGCCCTTAATTTTGTTATTATATTATCTTCTTTTCCACTTTTAAATTTACGTCACAACAAAAAGTTTGTATAAAAATTTATGATGTCAAATCGTTTAAAAGACCGTAATTGATAGATGAGCTAGCTGTTCGAATGTTTTTATTTAAATAATACACTATTTACATCTTGTGTTTTTTCACATAGGATCTAATTTCATCAAAATCGATAAATATCTATATATATCGAGCTCTTCCCTCATATGTACATCAGTTAGCTCGAAGCATCACTTGTTATACCAAGAGCAATGCGTGGGTAGTAATACCAAAAAAAAGACGTCAAATAATGGAATTGGTCTAAAGATAAAATCACTCGCTAAGAAATCAAGAATAAAAAACTCGCATTACATTGTTATCCATTAATTGTTCGATTTTTGATCCATCTTTTATCTAATTTCTGAGTTATCCAAATATTCTCGGCTAAATGGCGAGGACCACCATACACAGTGCATGGTTTCGTTGCTTCTTGTTGGCTGCTATGAAGTTGAAAGCTCTTTATGTTGCATAAAGCCCGAAAGGCTAATTTCCAACAGCAAACTTTTGTCGGTCCAGTTTTGAAACTGAATGTGTAAAGGCAACTCGCTTTTAAACCAATTATAAGAGCGGCTTTTGGCGAAAAAGGGTTGCTAACACTTTTCAAAAATTCATCACGGAATTCGGAAATTGGAGGGGACTCGAGAAACCGTTGAATGAATTGTTGATCAATATTGGCGAGCTCTTCATTGATTGAAATTGGGCGTGGTTTCTCGGCATTTTCTGGATTCTTATTCCATTCTTGATTCCTCGTGAGCGCTTTACTGTACTCACTTCGAAAATCTTTTTCCAATTGGACCATTGTATTTTCTATAAGGCGAAGATCCTCATAATATGGTGAGTTCACTTTGGCTTGTTCAAGTTCACGGCCAAACAAGGCCGTGAGGTCATCATCGATCTCATTAGTCGCATTAGGAGCCATAGTAAATTTGGGGGAATTCACTTCAGTAAGCAATCCACGAATCGATTCTAACAGACTATCCATGAATCCGGTAGTCCTGAGGTTCTGGCGTGAAATATCTTCATCCGGCGCTGGCAAATTTTTTTCTTTATTTTTATTTTTCTTTTTTCGTTCTCGTTTTTCCATTATCCACAACGGTGTTGAATCGTTTTGAAATAGTTTGCTGTCTTGGATAAAGACGTCCTCTTTAACGGTCAGACCTTGTTTTAACGCGTCCACCAAGTATCCACACATTTGCGCAAAGTAGATTGATTTTCGATCTTGGATTCCGTAACGATCAACGCAAAGATCATGAAAATAATTGTATAGATTCAATTTTTTTGTAATGTCTTTTATATGAATATCCAAAATTTTTTCCTGCAACGAGATTTGACGTGGTTTTTCCGTATATAGAATGTCTTTTATTTTTGTCTTGTCGGTGAGAATAGCGTCTTTTACAGCTGATTGTGTTTTTAGGACTGGACTATTTCGAAAAGGTTTTGCGATTCGAGGTTCCCAGCAACAAAAAATCTAAATTATTCATGAAATATGGTGTTTAAAATTATAATAAATATACAGCGGTTTGAATTAAATAATTTCTTGCCTTACCACGTCTCCGTCATAATCACCTCCAGATAGGCGACTAACCAAAGATCCTTCATTTGTCTCTTGGGTTTTGATCGGAAAGATCACGATATTAAAATATTTCAACAACTTTGTATTTTTCACCGCGCGAACTTTACAAATATCGGATGGCAAAAGACATGGTGTTCTCGCCACAATTACGTCACCTTCAATGACGCCAAAAGACAATCCAGTCCTTGTATCAAGTCCAGCTCTCGGATCAAGTTGAATGAATATTTCACCGGGGTTCAAAGATCCAGTTGGATCTGCGATGCATGTCAGTACTCGAGATAAAGGTACTTTGATTCGGAATTTGGACGAGAGCTTATTAAGAGCTCGTTTCACTATTCCGGTAAGCTCCTGAGCAAGATACGGACAAGTTTGAGGGGTGAATCCCGCATGTAACATCTGTAGACATCTTTCATTGACAGATGAAGGGAACCCAGATGAAATATCTTGTTCACCCAATTCCTCCGATGAAAAACTATTATTAGATGATGTCTCCGAGAACGAGTCATCATAAATTTTAGCATTTTGTTCCTCATCTAATCGCATTCCCATGATATTACAGCTCTCTTCAAGCCAATTTATCAGTTCCAACGGGTCATTACAACCAACTATTCTCGATCTGTATTCATTAATATCTTCTTGAACTAATTCAACAAATACTTCTTGTCCAACCCCACCACATTCCAAAACACGTATATATTGTGTATTTAAATAACCAGAAGTCGACGGAAATTTTATGAGTTTTACGACATCCAATGTACGCAAAATTTTATCGGCCAAACGATCTTCATCGCTACACCAGATATCATATTTAATTTGGGATTCCCTTAATTCAATCCAAATCCCACTTGAACTATCCAAATTAGGATCCAAAAACCAAATTCCTTTTGCTGATCCAATGCGAGCCTGTAATGCACACGGAGTTTCTGTGCATAACATGATTTCTGCAACTTTTTTCATAGCCAACAATGAAATAGTACCACATCCATCAGTCAAACAGTGTTCTCCATTTTCGGATTTCACGTCTTTGACAATTCTTATTTGGTTTGGTTGAAAAACAACCGTCGCTTGAGTATCTGACAAACCAAGAGAAATACGAGAAACAAATTTCGAAACTGACATATCGAGATTGTTCCCTCTGAATGGAATATGCCAATCGATTAGTTTATCAATTGATATTTCTTTTATATTTTTCCCTCGAGTTGCAAAATAAAAGATTGTACTATCCTTTCCGTATAAAAACTCGAACGTTCGTCCAGCTAATGTAATTGGTGCGAGTAAAAGTTTCTTCAACTTCTCGAGTTCCTCGGAACTAATTTTCTGCAGATCCGCATCAAGCTTTAAACTAAGAAATCGGTCTGAATCAAATTGCCGATAAAATCTTTTAGATCGACATCTTTTTGGTGGGTTCAGACGTAATTGATGCTCTCTCGGTGTCCATTCCAAAACCGCTGAAAATATGATCGTAGTACAGTTCTCATCATTTCCATTCGACTCCCAAGTATTATTTGATGCTTTCTTTGGTAAGATTTGAATCAGATGCTTTTTGGAAAGTCTATGCATTTCATCGTAAACATCTGCTGGTAATGTCTCCGATAATGCACGCCAATCAATTGACACCCAGTCTAATTTTCCAAAAGGTTTCATAAACCGAACTATTTCAAATGATTTATCAAAAGAGAATTTCGATAATTGTTCTTCACAATACTGATCCAATCGTATTGGCGTATACCAAATCATCTGGGTACTGAATTCATAATCTTTATTGAACTTGAAATCCCTATGATTGAAATATTTATTATTGAGACCATTACCATTATCTTCAATATCATTATTATAAAGATCATAGACAATAATGTTTTTGTTTTTGGTCTTTCTTGTAGGAGTAACAGCCGATTTACTCGTGGAACCCGATCCTCTATTGAATAGAATTTCATTTGACATTTTATCATCACTTTTATTATTCCCATCAATTGATACATTTGTTTGTAATTTCGATATCGGTGATGTATGATAAGTTTGATTAGAATTTAGGAAATTATATACTGTGCCTGTTCTTCTATCTGGGGTGTATTTTGTGGTTAGGTGACAACTCGATGGAACTTCACGCCTCGAATTAGGTGACGTAAGCGTCGAGAAACTCGCCGGGTCATATTTTTTCCTCGGATATAATATCGTCTCTTTCCTAGATGCAGTTCGGTCGATACCCGAAGCAGCTTTTACTAATTTGGCATGAAATTCCTTTTGTACCATCCTAAACGTCTTGTAATGTTTACCGTTACTCTTTGTTTTCAAAAATTCGCCGACCACCACTCCCAGCTCTTCCAGTTTAGCTGTCCCCGCGCGCGCTATTTCCTCCATTAATTTCAAGTCCTCGTCTGTCACGAATTTAACAAAACGTCCGTAATCTGGATAGAGCATTATCATGTCATCAGTTACTCTCTTACGCCAGTGTTGGACCGTTGGGTGGTATTCCATTGAAAATAATGGTTGTTTTTTAGGAGTTGTTTAAAAAAGGCACTAAAATAAACAAACCAAGATAATTGTCGCCGTTTTTTCTTTTGTACGAAAATTGAGAATAATTTTCAATAGGAATAAATAAAAATTTTTTTCTGCATTCGAGAAGCTTACGCTAGTATTTATATATCGTTCTTTGATAATAATAATAATAGAAAGAATGAGGTGTCTTAAACATATATTTCATGTAAATATATGTATCGACAAATATATCGAGTATATAATCTGAACGATGGCATCATTCACATCATTTATCAACATCATCATACAAAAAAATGAGCTATTTGAAAAAGATTTCATTCTTTGCATATGTTAGGCGCAGAAACACTTAAAAATTTCTTTGCAGCAATAGCTAGAGAGAGAATTTACATGGTTACGAGAGAATAAAACCGGAAAGATAGACTATCTATCATATGATTTATTTATCACTATACTACTTGAAATAGCAGAATCAGTATCACAAAGACACAAAGAAAAACCTAAAAAAGATCAGACAAATTTGTGTAGGATATGCATATGTAATATTTCTCGATTGCCTGTTTTCGGTCAATCTTTCTTTGAAAACCTCATCTCGCTTAAACGAAAGTCTATTTTTGAAAAAATCTGCGCTCATTAAGGAAAAGATATGGAAGAGACTAGTATAATAGGCACGTTTTATGTTTTATGTAGATTGAGCCCAAAGTTTAAGAACGGAAAAGATCGCTTTCCTTTTTGTTCATTCTACTTGAATCTCCCTCGGCCTTTTTACTCATAATCGTTTTTCTAATTTACTAGGTAACTCTCCAATAATCAAGGCAAAAAATGATAGCTTAGAGCCAGATAGTAACGAAACAGTTGAAGACGATTTCTCTGCATTTGCCACCAGTGGTAATAATGTAGAAGACGATGGAGATGACTTTGGCGAGTTTGATGAGTTCACAGATTTCAATAATGGATTAACAGCAGAAAGTAATTCAGAATTGGTTGAAAGTGAATTTGGCAATAATAATCAACAACAACAAATAAATTCCAATGATAATTTCAATCAATTTGCTGGAAGGGATAATGATGATAATAGTGGCGGTAAAGCTCATTTAAGACCTAGTTCTTCCGATAGACAAGAATTAAGTTTGGTATGTCAGTCAATTTCTTGATTCTAAAAAATTATTAAATTTGCCGAATCTTTATTGACTTTTACGTACTTTTTAAGCAGCCTATTATAGACTATTCAAATGCCACTTCAGAGACAATAATAACTCAATTCACTGACATATTAGACACATTATTTCCATTAACCTGCTCACCATCATTATCGCATGTTCACACAGCAAATGAGGGACAATTATTAGATAAACAAAATTCAGACATTTTTAGTTCTCAAGATAAAAAATCTCATGAATCTAAAGAAAAAAATAGTTCACCAAATAATTATAACAAGGATAGAAACTTGGAAAGCATACTGAACTCAGTCCCAGAAAGGTATGATAGTTTTATTTTATTTCTACTTGTGATTGACCCTGAAAGAAATCGCAAGCTCATTTGGAGTGTTTGTGTATGGCAGTATGGAAATTTGGGAACGTCTAGCTCCAGATCCAGAGATGATACCATTTTCGTGGAAACAGTCGAGCATAAGGAAACAATTTTATGACTCGTTAGGAGTTTCGTCTGATACTTTTGAAGAGGTTAGTGAAAAATTTCGATTTATTATAATGTTGGCTTACCAAATTTTCGGGGCTGACTTTAGCATAATACTAAGATTTCCAGTTTCAACAAGGATTTTAATTCCCTGCTGTTCCTAAAAAAAATAATATCGATCATTTCTAGACGACAATTTTTTAACCAAGTCTATTCTGTTTTTTTTCTAGCAAGCACTACGAAACAGTGTTAACATCTTACCTCGGAATTCAGTGACTCATTCTACCCCTTCAAGTAAAAAATCATCAGCATCAACACCAACAAGTCGAGCAGCTTCACCTCAATCATTGAATCTACAATCTCACACACGAGTTCAATCTGTATCTACGACATCACTTCCAGCGTCTAATCGTAAAAATTTAGGCACGTCTGCTGATTCTAGAGCGAAAAATATAGCACTTGCAAGTCAATTGGACCTGGAAAAGATTAAAGTGATGAGTTCTATACCTCAAGGTTTGTTTATTTATCAGCGGTGACAAAAAATCAATTTTTTTCTTTTCATCATTCACTCACTCACTCACTCACTCATATATGATATATCCAAGCAGAAAAGTTATACGACTATTCAATCTCGGAATTACAATCACTTTTCAATCAGCTTGACAGCTTATACCGACAAACATCAGAAACACTAACATTTTGGCTAGATCAACGTGAACAAACCATCATGGACGCCGAGACCTACAATCAAATGATAGAGTGTTTGGTTGGTCATGCGCAGAAAATTCGCAATGGAAACGGAAATGGTAAAGAGACTAGTAATTTGGATAATAAAGGTGGAAAACAATCACCGTCAAAAAAGAATAGTAAAATGGCGTCAGGATTTGGTATGTATTCTTCCTTTCTTTGTATTGGTTCAGCTAAATTCTAATTTTTATTTAATATTTTGATTATTTTATGATAGCTTCTTTGAGCTTGTCATTCAAAAAACAAAAATTCCAAGTGAATTCCTCGAGAAGACCGACCTCGGTTGCTTCTGATCCTTCGTCAGCGCACCCAGGAAAAAATATAGGAAATAGCACATTGAACATTCACGAGCGTAATTTGTCGCTTTGACATTTTTCACTTTTTCATTCAATGGACACTTTAAAGTCAGGATCAATCGATCAATCAACCAACCATTTAATTAATAGAATTAAAATAAGGGGATAGTGTAATGGACATTTGTTGTATCTAATTTTCTTGTTTTCCTCTTTTTATTTTCTTCATATACACATACATAAAGTATAATTATTCTTAATGCTTGGATATTTATTTTTGTATATTATTAATACTTTGTATATTATTTTCCAAAATCATCATAACTCTCTTTTCAAATCTATTATTGTTACGAATAAACTATCATCGTTTTTTGTTACGTTCATTGAAAATTCGAAATTCGATTGCGGTTATGCAGATCAACGAACAGTTTGACAAGTTGAACAGAAAATGCGAGCTTGCGAAACACAAATTTTGGTGTTCATCCAACTTTAATCTGACAAAGAGTGAATGTAACCAGTCACAAAATTTTACGAAAACTATAAATTTCGTCACCCGATTTCTTAGTTTAACATAAAAAAAATACCAGGGTGTACCCGGCTTAATCACATCAAAGGTGAAAAATTTTGCAGATCATTACTTATAAAGCTGAAAATTTTATAGATCATAACTTAGAAAATTGAATGTGATTGGTCAGGTTATAAGTGTGATTATTTTTATATAAAACTTTTAAGATAATATACATTATTTGATAGTACTTATCAAAAACTATTAAATGATGTATTTTTTTTACATTTAAAGCTCGTATAAAAAATCTTTTGTAATTCAAAGTATTTGATGTGACTAAGTTGGGCACACTATTATCTAAAATAAACAACAAATCATTGATCGAGGAACATACTACGTAATAATTTTTAATATTATACTCATTGTAACATCGCATAGAATGAAAATAATAACAATAGTAACAATATCAAACTGACAACAATATCCAATATGGGTTCTACCAAAGTATTATTATCTAGTCGAAGCACGATTCAGATTCGCTCATCTTTCTTTAATTGATTCATACATTAAAACAGAAGCATACTCGCTCACTCAGCCACAACTCTAAATTTCATGCGTCTATCATTTATTAACCAATGTCTTTGCAGGTTACGTTGTGTTTCATTGAATGAGCTTTTTAGGGATGAATTTGAATTAAAATCAACATTTTTGTTCGCATACAAGCATCACATGCAGGCATACAGCAAAAAGTAGACAATGAAACAATAGCAATTTAATTTTATGGATAATGGGAAAAACAAACTTTGGATTTATTTCTGCTTAGCGTTAGCGCTAGCAAATTTTCTGTAATATCTCATCACTTTTATTTTGCATCGTGCATAAGCGTAACGTAACGTAACATAACGTAACGTAACCTAACATAACATAACATAAAAAAAGCTTCTTTGCTGCCAGTTAATACCACTATGAATGATGTATAGCACCATAATACCATACACGCTTCATAAATTCAACAAAAGACCTCCCCTAATACTTGATGTCATTGTTATTTCAATTTTGATTGTTTATTCATTATTACGAGTTTAAATCTCTGAAATAATGGCATATTTCATTATTCTTATACTATTATTCTAATATCGATTTCATTATTTCATTATTCTGATCTTATGAAATTTCATTATTCTGAGCTTATGAAATTTCATTATCCTGATATAATGAAATTTCATTCTTCTAATTTTAACTTGTTTTATTCTGGATATGTCGCTGTTGTGTGAAATTCGCATAGTATATAAAATGCAAACAGTCAAATTTGGCAACAAAATATCTTGTTTATGACCAGTGTTACCAGTGACATTCTTCAATCCCATTTCAAGTATCATTGTTTAAAAAAGTTCAGTTATGATTGTTGTTATTTATTTGATCGATCGGTACAGCATTTTTATACACTATATAAATATAAATAATTCTTATTGGTTTCATGCAAGAAACAGTGCTCTCTTTAGTAACACATGGTTATATTTATTAAATCACTGCATATAGACATCTAAGAATAGAAAATATTAATATAAAATTTGCTTTTATGAGAATAAACAGAGGTCATTGTTTTAAATAATTTATTTTTCCCACGAAATTTTTCTTATAAACACGCAAAAACTAGGCTTAATGTGGACTTCATGCTATTGATTTTTCTTCGCTTAGTATTTATATATAATATATCGTTTAATATTTATATAATACATATTTCTTCGTGGATACACGTGACATTAATAAATAATCTCTAAAAGGACCAACTCACATGTTTTTATACAGAAGTGAGTCTTCAACTTTGTTCACTTGCTCAATCGTTGATGGTATTGTTTTAAACAAGGATATTAAAGCACTATAGTCACCTCATTAGGAAAGTCAAGTTAAGTGACTACAAAAGCATAGTCACTCAATGACAGGAAAAGCCAAATTGGGTGATTTGGGTGACTACAAGAGGTTTGATTATAAACGAATATGACTATAGAGGGGTTTGATTGTACGCAATTCTTTATTCCAAGTATATTTAGAATCCGCATATATTTAAAATCTGCATTATAGAGTGTAATTCTCTAAACGAAACGCGTATTATATTAATGGATAAATCGTTTTTTATTAGAATTATATCTACATTCAAAATTAAAACACACCGAAGCATACAACAAAGAGAAAAAACCGAAGCATCACCGACATGATAATACTGACAAATGAACGCTTACAAAAAAAACGCCAAGGATACAGTAAATAAAAATAACATTACTACTTTAAACATAGTTCCTTTAAACATAACTATAGACATTACTATAGTGTATATGTATATATATGAACCATAAATTGTACATAACGAAAATTCAATCTACGAGAATTCGTTTTCTTCACCGCAGAACAATAAAAAACCCCGATAATTTTATGCAAAAGCGATCCAAATAAGTGTTGCACATAGGCTATTGGATTTATAATGTAACATATGTATTTATAATATATAAACGCTACACGAAAAAATCGAGAAAAGAAAAAAAGGGAACAATACAAACGAAAAATTACTATCATATTCATTCATTCAAGTTCGGAAATTCATTTACGTCAACGCCTTATTTATTTATTTATATTATGTTTATTGTTATTAAAGTTTATTCTAAAAATCCGTCGTTGTCTTCGATTCTTATATATATTCGATTGGATCAAAAGACCCAAAAAATAAGAACAAATTTTCACAAGTTCCAAAAACAAGAAATTTAACTTTCTTTTCCTTCTTTAATATTTATTTATATTTATATGTTCTTTGCATATAGACACATTCTCTCTCTTGTGTCTTTTGTAAACTTATCACACACACAAAACATATTTAATCAGTTGATTATCACTTAACTTTATTCTTGTCGGCTTTTGTATTATTTGTAAATTATAACGACTTCTTTACCGCCGCCCAATACTATTCGTTGTATTATACAGATATTAATAACTGTATTCAGCTTCAACGATATAAAAAGAGATTCAGGTTTATTCAACACCACAACAAACAACAACAATAATTCAATAACAATGACATCGCCGACACAACAAATGTCAAAAACGGCACGAATAGGTATAATTGGGGCTGGACCCGCAGGAATTTCAACTGCCTACCACTTAAAAAAAGAAGGCTACCAACACGTAACGATTCTCGACTCTGCACCAAGAATCGCCGGAAAGAGTGGCTACCACACGGTAGACTCACGAAACTACGACATTGGTGCACTAATGGTCGGAAACAACTACACACACATCAAAGAACTTGCTCAGGAGTATCAATGTCCACTCAAAAAATTCCAAGGTCGAGCTTTAGACATCGATACTCGCAAAATCATTCACGACGATACTGACAAAATTGGAGTTTATTCCGCATTGATACCGCACATGAATCATTATCTCGGAGAGAGATCAGTGTTTGAGATGGCCTCAAAACCTGGTCATGGCGGGTATAGCGAACGGGAATTGTATGCTCCGATTTCGCAATATCTTAAAGATCGAAAAATGGAGTATTTGAAGGACGCGTGGGGATTGGCGTACACTTCTGCTGGTTACGGATATTTAAGTGATGATATACCGGCTGCGTATTTTTGTAAATTTATTGAGAATTCAGAGAATACTATTTGGTATTTTCCTAATGGGTTCTCGGAATTATGGGAAAAAATGATGAAGGTATGTATTTTGACATATATTTCCAAATAAAGATAAAATAGGACACATTTTTACATGAAACACAATACTAAATTTAGACAATACCTAACTCAAAAAAAACCCCATTGTGTGGCGAAAAACAATAAGATTATCAGTGTGTCACACATCATTAATGCACATCCAAATATATCTTGTCTTCCGATAATAGGATCACCATGTACAACTGAACACAAAAATCACATCAATAGATCGTTCTTTACGTAGAATTAACTCGAGCTGTCCAATTCTCGTAACCACCGAGAACACCGAAACAAAATTCTCTCAAACTCTTGCGTTTGACCATGTCATTATTGCCACTAACCCACGACAAACCGAAAAATTTCTCGACGTTACCCCGGTTGAGAAATCATTGTTCCAACAAGTGGTGACTTACGAGTTTTACACTATTATTGCCACGGTTGAAGGGCTGTCGACTAAAGTTGGCATGACTACAATACCGAAATATTGTGCCAATAAGGAGTTTGTCGGTCATATCACCGCGTTTTACTGCTCACACGAAGGAGTGCCAACTTATTTGTTTTATGCATATGGAAATAAAGAATTGAACCAGGAAAAGGTGACTGAGATATTTAAAGAAGATTTGCTGAAAATGGGTGGTGAATTAAAGGAAATTCATTACAATCAAAAATGGGATTTCTTCCCTCATGGTATGTTGGAATTGCATCTAATCATATTATTTATTAAATTATTAATAAACATGTGGCTAATAATAATCTCTTTTAATACAATTAGTTTCATCGCTTAATATGGCACGAGGATTTTATAGTAAAGTTGAAAATATTCAAGGTCAAGATGGCACATTCCACGTGGGAGGTTGGATGGATTTTGAATTGACCGAAAATTGTGTCTCTTACAGTAAAGATTTCGTTAAACGTTTCTTTACTCCTGAAGGCCCGCCAGCTTCTAAAGAAATTCAACATTTACCAATCTCCGCGCCAATAAAAATAAAACCTGCCGCTACCACCAATTGGGGTACGATTTTACGTTTAACTGCGAAACGGTTTCCAACCAAAGAAGCATTCACATATGTAGACTCAAATATGAAAGTGGAAATGAACTTGACGTATCACGAACTTTATCGTCAAGCTCGTGCTGTGGCTTACTATCTGAGTGAAGTCGCTCATTACAAAGCTGGTGACCGGATTTTGTTATGCTATGCGCCGGGTCTAAAATTCTTGCCGGTGCTTTTTGGATGCATGATGATCGGAGTAATCGCCGTACCAATCGCTCCACCGAACCTCGCGACCGCAGAAAAAGATATCGGAAGATTCAGATACCTAGCCGAAACAACCGGCGCAAAATTAGTATTCAGCGATAAAAATTATATGCTCTACACAAAACTGTACGCGGCGAAAAGTTTTCTCGGTCTTGGTGACAAAATCAACTGGCCAGATGGCTTAACTTGGGTTGAAAGTGATAGCGTGACCTCGTCGAAACAATTATTGGATGAACGTCTAATTGATGAACTGGACTGTGAAAGCGTCGCAGTTCTTCAATTTTCTTCTGGTAGTACTGGTGATCCTAAAGGTGTTATGTTGACACACAAGAATTTAATGCACAATGTTGATTTGATGCAAGCTGAAATCGGGTTGGATTCGGATTCAACGATCGCTTTCTGGGTTCCGCAATTCCATGATTTAGGCTTGATTGGAGGTTTCTTGAATACTATTCGCGGAGGTTGTAAATCAGTAGTAATGTCACCTCTTACCTTCTTACAAAAACCAGAAAGTTGGTTACAAATGATTAGTAATTACCAAGCGACATTTACAGCTGCACCTAATTTCGCGTATGAACTCGCAGTCAGAAAGACAAATTTGGATAAAGTAAATATCGATCTAAGTTCTCTTCGAGGTGCTTTCAACGGCGCCGAACCTGTCAGATGGACCACCCTGAAATCATTTGCACAAAAATTTGGACCAGTCGGATTTAAATTGTCAATGTTTAGATGCTTATATGGATTAGCGGAACATTGTGCCTATACGATCGGTTTTCGTAATCTTTACGATGTCCCGACTGTGATTGACATTGATCCACATGAAATTCGAGCTGGACACGCTAAAGTTCGTAGTAACTCGCAACATCCAAATAATATCGTTTCTACTGGTGTACCAAATCTTGCGATGCAAGTTGAAGTACGCGTCGTAGATCTGGAAACACGACAGTTGTGTTCCCCGAATACAGTAGGAGAAGTTTGGATGAGTAGTCCGAGTGTTGGTAAAGGATATTTCGGAAAAGAGAAAATCTCAGAGGAAACATTCCGAGCGAAACTGGAAAATAACGATCATGGAAATTGGATTAATGATCATGGAAGTTTTTTGAGAACTGGGGATCTTGGATTTATGTATAATGGCGAGTTATTTATTACTGGTCGACAAAAGGATGTAATCATCATTAATGGAAAGAACCATTATCCTCAAGATATCGAGCTTTCAGTTCAAGAATCACATGAAGCAATTAGATCTGGATGTGTCGCAGCAGTTCACCATTCCGATCCAAAAACTGGGACTGACTCACTCATAATTATCGCAGAAATTCGTAATTACAAAGAAGCAACACAAAATTTACTCGAAGAAATTATCAACGCGATCAGTCGTAAAATTCCCGCGAATCACGGACTTACATGCGAGCAAATCACCTTGTTAAAACAACAAAGTATTCCAAAAACCACAAGCGGCAAAATCCAACGATCACGGGCAAAAGAAATGTTACTGAGTGGAGCACTAGATAAAAAAATAGTTATCAAAGCTGGTGAAATCGCCAAAGAACCCCGATCTCGCCCAGTCAGTGGATATTTCGCGAAAAAGCCGCCGCTAATGCAAGTCCCAGAAATTGAACAAAAAATTGCTAAACAAGTTCAACGTGTATCAAAATTAGCAGCAAAAGATTCGGTAATTGACGTGAAATCAAATCTAATTATCACTTATGGATTTGACTCGATTACTGCTGTTCAATTGACCGCTTGTCTCAAAGAAGAATTTGGAATTGAAATTGCGCCAGCTCTTCTTCTTGATCTTCCATCAATTTCAGATCTCGCGAATCATATTTTTAAACAAATCACACCAAATTATACTCAAGAGGAAGATATCGAAGAACCCACGCTTCCAATTTTGGAAATTCAAAAGACTATCACGCAGCAAGTACACAAAGTATCAAAATTCGCTTCGAAAATCCCACTCGAAAAAATCGATGTCACAGCAAATCTCATTACCGAATATGGCTTTGATTCGTTGACTGCTGTGCAGTTAACAGCTTTATTGACGTCAATTTTTGGCATTGAGATTGCACCGACATTGTTATATGATGTGCACACAATCGCTGATTTGGCCGAACATGTTCATAAACAACTAAAAGCGCGTCCATCACACAAACGACAAATATCCCATCAATATCAAAAAGAAGATAAGGTTGAAAACGAAAAACTCACCACTCCGATTCTTGTTCCTCTTGCTCCCGCTACCACCGAGAACAAAATTAATCCAACTTTATTCTGTATTCATCCTTTGTTGGGTAATGTTGCCACGTATATTTCTTTTGCTCGTAAGATCGGTTCCACACGTCCCGTATATGGACTAAGAGCACCTGAAGATATCGAGTTTAATATTGTCAAGTTGGCAGAACGATATGTTAAAGAAATACAAAAATTTCAGCCTTTCGGTCCATACTTTCTATGTGGATATTCATATGGTGGTCTAGTCGCATGGGAAATGGCAAAACAACTTGCAGCATCAGGTGAACGTGTAGGTGGATTATATTTACTTGACGCACCATCTCCACTACCAAAAAGCGTTCGCGCACCACTTGGTCCCGATGAACAACCACACAAAATATGGGCAAAAGAAATTGACGAACTATTGAATGACGTAGATAGTCAATGGATGTTACAACAACAAACGATCGATCCGACAGGACTCGAAGCTTTAAAAGTACATATCGGCAAACATATTGCCGCCATGTATCAATATACTGATGACATCACACCTTCGAGTGCTGTCCAACCATTTTATATTCATTACTGGCGTGCAAAAGATTACTCTGGAAAAACAAGCAAACTTTTACTCGATCATCCTTTATTCAAAAGCAACATTTTCGGATGGGAAAGATATCAAGGCAGAATAACGGTACATAACCCCGCGACCGGTGATCACTATTCAATACTCAAAGAAGAGAATTGTGGTCGTCTGGCACGCGAAGTGAGTCGTAATATGCCAAATGCAAATAAACGAGCAAGTATGGAACTAAAGCCACTAATACTAGAAAATATCACAATGACACCATCAAGACCCAATTCGCCAAATTCCGCGCGATCAAACTCTGGTCTATTTTCGGGTGCCACGTTAATTGGTAGTCCGCAACTGGACATGCTAACCAATAGCGGGAAATTTAATAATACGACAAAACAAAAAGGAATTTCTGGCGCGTTGAATGTTCAAGTTCCTATGTACGTTAGTATTGGGGTTTCGATAGCTTTATCTTATTTTATGACGCAGCTTATGATGAGGATTCAGTCAGTTGCTACATCTTGATGGGGTTATAGATCAACGGAATGGATAGGTGTTTGGGTTTATGGGTAGATGTAATTTTTTCACGGACTATTTTTCATATATTAAAAGCGATTTTATTATTTACTTTTTCGATTATTGTATTTGTAAATGTATACATATCATAATGTAATTCGTATTCTTTAAATTGTATTGTTTCTTTTCCTATACTTTTTTTTTCAAAATTTCTTTAAAACTCTCGCGTGATTTATTAATCAATTGTTTTAATTCATTCACTCTTTTTTTGGATTTCTTTGGAATTGTAAGCAAAGCGCGTTTTGTATCATAAATAAAAATATATTTTGTATTTCAAAAAAGACTTGAACAAAAATAAAAAATATTGTACGTGTCAATTAAAAACACGCTAACTATTACTCGAATAGAGCATATACAGAGTGTGCATGTATTCCTCACGGAAGCTAAACGAGTATTTCGATAGTTTCTCTTTAGTTAACTGAACGCAATTCGCCACTAAATAAAAAATATCAAATATTCCAACATAAAAATCTGATCGAATAATTCAATAATTCAGAAAAACAATACCTTATCATTTTCTTCATGTCCATTTCCAAAACAAGTGACCTCTTGATGTTCAGCATCGAGTGCATGATCGTGACTATGAAGCGCCAAGCCTGTCGCCGCATGATGCAACGATATTATATCGTCTACATGCCAATACGATGAATTGTCGTAAATTTGATTGTAACTGTGTCGTTGAACTATCCAGCTATCGTTGGCATCGGTTACGTGATCGTCTCCAAAGCAGGTGACTAGTGATAAATTAAGATCAATGAATAAAAAACAATAACGACCAAAGAATTCGCAAAATACCTTCTTGTTGATTCGTTTTCGGCGAACTGATTCCCCCATGAGAATGTAAATTACGCCGAGTTGTAATGTGTTTTAATCTGATTTCGGTACCATATCGTATTTTTTCGCCAGGTTCACCGTCATCCTTGTACGCTGGTATCGCGATCCAATAATCGTCAGGTCCTGGTGTCCATCGATTACCAAAAACTTGCTGATTTTGATTGGGCAAAATGTTTATAGTATCACCATTACCATGTAACTTGATCGATCAAAGAATAAAAAACTACAAACTTGTTGCTTAGAACCACCATAATAATTTTGTTTATGACTAGACAGAAACCTGCCAGTGATTACGTGTTTAAGTGTGATATGAGAACCCATACGCACAAAGTCCTTGGGAGTTTTTCCGCGGTGAACATCGGTCATTTTCAATGATAAAGAAATGCAGGAAAAAGATAATTACGATCAATAAGAACGTGAAGATTAGGACACAGAATCCAAGCGTATTTATATTTCATTTAGCTTACACGCCAAGAATTATCGGTTGATTATTATACATGATATCTATCATACATAATAAATGTGATAGATTAAAACGAAACCAGATTAAAACGAAACCAGATTAAAATGAAATCAGATTATAATAAAATCAAATCAAAATAAAAATTTCAGAGAAGGGTTAGGCTAGAGCATAGAGTATAGCATTAAAATCTGTAATATATTGACTAGGGATGTTAAAAAGTTCGTTGGAGTCAGTCTTTGAGTCTGCTCGGCCTGCTCGACTTCAAGTTGAGACTTTAGACTCGAAAAACCTGTCCCAATATCACATGATATATCAGGTGTCAAATTAGTGTAACTATATCGGTATACATATCGATATACGTAATACAATTATCGTTATAGCATTGTATGTAATAATGCCCACTTTTGGATTTGTTTGTTTTGTCCAACAAAAGAAAATTAAGTCTATTATTGCATATATTAATATATACTTCGAGATATATTTTATTTTTCTAAAGACAAACACGGTTAACGAGAACAAACACGATTAATGAGAACAAATATAGTCAAGATAAAAGATTAATATTGTCACCACTTCCAGCATCATTGCCTATGATGATATTTTTTGGAAAATAATAAGTGACTGTGTTCACATAAAGAATCAGATTACTGAACTATCAAAACTTATAATTCAAATATCAAATAATAATAGATATCATAGTAATAAAAAAGTGATAATTTATAAAAATTTTTATTAGTTATAATATTTTGTGATTCATAATATATTTAGAAAACCAATTTATAAATTATCAGAATTTTTTTATATTTTTAAATAATTATAATAAATGTGACAGATTAAAACGAAACCAGATTAAAATGAAACCAGATTATAATAAAATCAAATCAAAATAAAATTTGGATCTATTTTTATGGAATAAAAATTTCAGAGAAGGGTTAGGGTTAGGTTAGAGCATAGGGTATAGCATTAAAATCTGTAGTAAATTGACCTATGATTATTTAAACATCACACTCTGTTTCGTTTTAATCTGGTTTCATTTTAATCCGCCACAATAAATACTAATACTAATACTAATAAAAATATAAATTAAATTTATAATATTATTATTTCTTTTTTATTCTTATTTTGAATCAAATGAATAATGGATACAATAAGTTTATATAATGTAATAAATATTGTTTCATATGATATATAAAATATTATTTATATAATGTATAATACAGTCAGAGAGATTTTCTGATTTGTCAATATAGATTATTCTTTTTATGGTAGTAAAATTTTTTCTTGAACTTTCTGGAAATCTTTGTAGAACATTAGAGACAAGTGATTTCAGACAACAACTTTTCAGTTATCATTCTTCTTTATTAGTATTAACAATATTTTTGAACAATATATTTCTGATTTCCTAAAGGGTATTCATTAAATCGTCATGGGATTGACTTGATAAACTTCAAAAATGTGATCATTGTAAATCACCTAAAAGAGATGTTAAAGAATTAATAATGGATAATAGTTGTGGTTTTGTTAACAGATTTTCATTTTTTTAATAATTTGCTTCTTTACTTGTTACTGAAATTAATTGCCAAGCATCTAATGATGTTTTTCTAATTTGTCTTGATTTAATAAATTCTATTCTTTTTATTCGTGCAATTTTAGTAAAACTTTTCATTTCTTTACTTAATATCAATTCGCCACTAATATCATGAAAAACATGATTAGAGACGTTCGGGTTTACAAATTGCGTTTTTCTTATCTGAATCTGAAATCAATTTGATTCAGCAATAAAATTAGAGCATGTATGAGATTTGCATAGTTTACTTTCAGAATATCCTATCATATTAAAAAGATTAATACGCAATTTTTCAAATTTGGTACAGTTACGTGCTGCAATTTTCCAATATCACTGTGAAGGTGTAGAAGAATTAACAATTTGAGTGTCTTGTTTATTTTTTCCAATATTGCGTTGTCACGAGTCCCAGGCTCAGGTAGATAATCTTGTGACATGAGTGTTCAACCAACGTTTATTTCAGTAAGTTAATATTTTGATCTAGTTGCTTTAGGATCGCAGCGCTGTGCGGCTTCTTCTATTCTATTAATTAGAATAGGAAACACTATTACTAATAAATATCTTCCTATATATTTATTTAGTGTGATGATGGTTCTATAGCAATATAGTACTGATATTCTATAGCAATCTGGTTGAGTGTCCAGTAGTGTATAAAATAAATATTATAACAAGATTAATAATTATAAAATCAATTAATGTACAATTTCATTAAACAATAAACAAGAAGCGGTTTATTGACTAGCTAGATTTTGTATTGATCAATTGATACCTTTTGATTTATCCAAAAGGTCCTTTATTTATATAAAATAATTTATGGCTAAGTTATTACAATGTGGAATATGTTATATATGTCAGATAAATATGATATAGCGAATAATGTTGATATAGCTGAGAACTCTGCTATCTCTGCTATCTCTATAATCTATGTTTAGTTACATGATCAAAATTAAGAAATTAAGGAATTAAGAATAATTCCAGGCTGTAACAGCGTCATGATCTTGATGTTGATTTGAAAGTTTAGATCAGAATGTCACAATCCTTTCTTGAATCAGATTGTGAATTTCAGGCTTCAATTATAGTCTTTGTTCTTCATCAGCAATTTTAATTAATCAGATGACGTCAAGCAAACCAAATCGGTGCAAATATTCGTTTAGCTATTGTTATGACTGGAAATTTATATAAATTTCATAATTTCTATAATTTTCATAAATTCTATAACTTTCATAATTTTGATAATTTACAACAAATACTGTAATTACCATCATTTACAATAATTATCATAATTACCCTCATTTACATAGTATCTATTATTTATTAACTTATATAATTAATCATAAATGTAACATTTATTAGTGAAAAATATTTATTATAAATAAAGTGCAATTGAAGCTTT